ACAAAACTGGGTCTATGTGAATTTTTTAGAACTTACACTGTGCACGTCAAACCGAGCAAAAAAAATCCGCTCCGTAATGCATTTTTCGATAGTACAAGCACGCGAATAATTCATCGATCACATAGGGCGTAACGCAACAAAAAATAGTTGATGTGAAAAAAATAATACTGACAACGCGATTAAGTAAAAATAATCACCAGTCGTTGTTCGTCAAGGCAGAAAAAAGAGATTTCGTTAACCAAAAGTATAGCTCGACCGAGGTTATTCGTACGTATAAGTAAGTATACATAAAGCCGAGTTAAAAGCGGCGTTTTTTAGAGGACTTTGCGAGCGTTGAAATAAAAGCTAGCTGTTGTCGACCGATGGGAATGTTAACGCATGAATTTAAGCACGTAGCAAACTTCTATACTACTATAGCTTTCCTCCCAGACATACATCAGAGTCCGAACACTTGTTTCCTTGTGTCTTATACGTGATTCGAATGCAAGTATCGTTCATTCCGACGCGCGCGGCTAAGACTCTTGACCTCCCGTGCTCCAGCCTTTTTTATATAAGAAATTTACACGAATTTTCCAGCTCTCGTCGTCTTATAAAGTTAACTGGAGCAGCATGTTTATAAGGGGGGAGGTATAGAGTAAAAGAGCTTTGGAAATTTAACGATAACTACACGTAAACATGGGAGCGGTGCTTTTAGCCGAAACCTGTATGCTTATAATGTAATCCTCGTCGACAGTGGAGCTTTTCCTTGGGGGGTATGAGAGATGTGTATACAGTGGCCGAGTATAGGCGACGCGACGTCGCTGTGTGCAAGCAAAGGAGTGCATGAAAATTTGAGCAAATTGATTCTTTGGCTGAGCTGCTTTTGGCTGAAAAAATGATAGCCGAAAGACGAGCACGTATAACGTGTACGGAGCACACATACGCCTTGCGAAATATGATCCTGCACGAGTCATCGGTGTCGCGGTCATTACCATATACGGCGATCGGCATGTATATACGTATATAATACAATATTGTGAATATGGTACACGTGCTTTTATGTAGACGCGCTTGGCTCAGGTATATGTAAACGAAAAAACGTCAAGGACGTTACGTATTTTGCCTTATGCAGCGCGCCTCGGCACGTATAATATAGATATATGCTTTTTAAAGCCTTTCCCCGGCGCGCGCTAGCGTCATCGTTGCCTGGATATAGGTACCTCATCTCTCTCTCACTCACTTCTGCTACTATAGCTGCTGTGTAGCTGCTGCTATATCTGCTGCTCGTGGAAGCCTTCGCATGGATGGGAATCTATCAATAACATCTCGCGCGTCTATATGTATGTCTATCGGTGTTTGCGCACATTACTTTGACTTTTCGCATCGCACTAGCTTATACAGCTCACTTTTCAAAGGCCAGTATAAATAATGTTATTTTCGTGTTCTTCCTCTTCTCTATCTCTTTCTCTCGCTCTCTATCTATCTGTCTCTGTTGCTCGGAGAAATGTGCACGTAATGTTTGTCAAATCAAAGAAAAATACGCGTTTTATGTTATTTTACGATACTCGTTTGGCCAATAAAATGTATTTCTTTTGATAGTGAACGCTTTTTTTCTGTTATCAGAGACCTTGCCTCGTTGACTGCTTCATTTTAATTCGTTGTATTAAACATGCGTTAGGAAAAACAGCGTGTCTCTTTTAAAACGAGCGCGCGCAGGCAAGTCAAACAACAAAGAAAAAGAAAAAACGAGAATCTCGTTAAAGACTCGTTTACGCGTGACCGAAGGTGCAGATCGAATATAAAGGCGAGTTTCCGGGCCTTATCGATGACGATGGTAATATTTATGAAACGGTTATGAAAGAAACGCAAGATACGGCATGAGTGGAGCGAGAAAAAAATGTTCAATTAGTCACACTCTTCGCTCTTGAAGCTGCCTGTCCGTCGAATAATAATTACTTTATCCACGTGAAAAACTTTGAAACGTAACGGAATAGTTCCAGCTCGTTCTTCACGCATCCATTGAGATCTCCAGAATGATTTGTTGATATATATATATATAGAGAGAGAGAGAGAGAGAGAGAGAGAGAGAGAGAGCAAGAGAGAGATAGGCACATTCCGCACGGTCAACGTCGCTTGTACACGAGCATCAGATATTTGCTTAGCCAAGCGCGCGAGCGACGTCTTGGAGGTGTACAAAACTCTCGCGGGCAACAAAATATACGCTCGCGCGCGTGCTCCGAAATTTCACTTTGTATGCCTACTTCTCGTGTTAATACACAAGTTTATGCAGAGTCGAGAAGTAGGTCAATCGTTTGTGGAAGCTACCCGAGAGAGAGAGAGAGAGAGAAAAGGGACGAGCGCGATGCACATTTATACGTGCGCGGTGCAGATATGACTGACTGTAATACCGCGCGTGTTCAGCCCTATGCGCCATGCGCTATTACAGCACATATACAACTAGGCAGCTCCACGATAGACGAGAAAATGATTACATAAAGAGAGCAGATGGCGCGTAAATAAAAAATCGATCGTATGCTGCGTACATATTCGTGCACATAAGAGAGCGATAATCAATTACCGAGGTAGTTACGCGCATCGGCTATTATATCGGGTTGGACATTTCGTAAGCGAGAAAATCTCTATTTCTCGTTGCCCAGTTGCCCATAGATAAGCGCCTCGTAATGGTAATAAATTCCTCCGGCACTCTCGTGGCGTCGCCTATACGTATACCATATACATGCAGGCACTTGCTATAAATACACGTATATATAACGCAGCTAGTATAATGCGTGCGCGCGCGATAAACAAGCTAATATACTTATGAGCGCGAAGCTGAAGGCGAAATTTATGGTACAATTCAAATTTCGCGTAAGAGCGAGGCGTTCGCTTCGTGGGATTACGATACGCAGACGTATATATTTCGAGGGAAAAAAGAGTCGGAGGCTTCTCGAGATTATTATATATTACTCGGTCGATGAGGACGGATCGAGAGAGACGAGTCCCAGAGCGACGAGCTATATAATAATATCGCAAGATAGAGCGAGGATTTAAAAGACGATACGCGTGCGTCATACGTGCACTCGGTGTCGTCCACCGATTCCGATAACTAATTGGGAGACATTAGCGCTTTTATCTGCGGCCGAATCGACTTTATACCGTGTATGCCTTTTTTTTCTTGTAAGAAATACGTCGTACGAAGGAAAAAATGTGCGCGATAAATCAGCGCGGGAGCAAAGGTACCGTATGTAAATGCCGAAGACGAGGGGGTTAATTGGGGCAATAAATCGAGAAAATTTTTTTCGCCCCCTCTTGTAATAATAGATATAGGATGGGCGAAGGAGAAAAGGAAAGAATGTAAGGTAGGATATAGGACAGAAGACGAGTAACCGAGAATAGCTGCGGCGAGTATAACGTAGTAGTAGTAGACGATTATCAACACATACGCGGAGGCACATCGTAGCAAACATCGTAAGTGTCCGCATGAATATTAATGAGCGATCGGCGACTGGAAAAATATATCCTCTCTCTCTCTTCGCTGTCTTTTATTCGCTCTTGCACGACGCGTATTAGCTTGTTAAAACGAACTCGCAGTAGTTGTAGGCTCGCGGAATCGTGAGAGTAATTTTACACGAGAGACGCCGCACCGAACGAGTGGAGGTAAACGTTTGAACTGCAGGAAGTGCGTGTGTAAAGCAAGGAACGAGACGAAAGAAAAGAACAGCCTACCGTATAGGCGTGTAAAGGTACTTGTGCTACGAGGAGAGGAGAAATTCGACAGAGCCTCGCTTGTATTATTAAGCTGGCTACGATTTTGCGGTCAAACGAACGAGCGAGTTTACTGTTGACAGCGAAATTCTTGTTGTATTTTTTCCTCTCTCGCTCTCTCGATAGCTAACGGTGCAGGCAGCAGCGGCAGCAGTCGCGATAAGATACATCGAGATGAATAAGGAATGCCAATAGGCTTTTGAAACTACGCAACTCTTTTATTCCTGTATATACCATAAGTGTTGTTACGCGGCGCGGCGTTCGAGCGATAAGAGGCAGAACGCAGGCCTCGCTCGCTCGCGGCTACGCACACTGCGTGCAATGTGCATAGCATCAACCGCAGAGCATAACCTGTTCCGTCGCGCCGCGAGAGCAGTAAGCGCGACTTTCTCGATTGCAGTGGCGCGAGCTGCTGCTGCACGACTCCAAAACGAGATGCTGCGTTTGCAGACTGCAAAGAGCGAATAGTAGATTTATAAGTATATTTGCGCGTTGAGTAGGTATGCGCGAGCAAGCACGCGCCGCACAGTCGCCCGCTTGTATCGCAATTACGTCGCTGCTACCACGCGCACGAGGTGTTGATGCTTCGGCTATTGGCTCGTATCTGTCATCATTCAATGAGGAAGGGTGAGAGTAAAGATGCTACAGTAGAAACAGAGCGAGCTCGTTCGGGATTAGGCTCGAGTGTTTTTCGACGCTTTTAACGTACATGTGCCAGGAGAGAAGAATTGTGATATATAAACGGGGGCGGGTCGATACCGGCGGCAGCAACAACGGCGCGGTGCCACCGAGTCGTAGGTATACGTACGTAGCGCATATAATACACATACAGGCGAGAGAGACGGCTACAACATGCAGCGGAGCACGCCAACGTCTACACGGCAGTCGCGCACGGAAAAAGTTCTTGGCCTGCCCGATGTGTATGTCTGTTTTCTACCCCCTCCAGGTCACGCACACATTCGCACAGACATTGGGGAGGCAGCAGGACTGCACGACTCCGAAGTATATACGTATGCATGTATGTACAGCGACGAGTAGCGAGATCGGTCACGCAACAATGTATGTGTGCGCGAATGTCTGTGAGGGGAATTTACTCGTGTCTGCGTGTGTCTATATGTGCGTCTCTATGTAGGTATATAATAAGCGACTATACGGCCCACGACGACGGCAACGACTCACGAGTATCATATAGGTGCACACACACACACACTTTGGAAGGGAGAGAGAGCGATGAAAAAGAAAAACAATAACATTACCTTGCCGCTGTCGGCAGCTGGCGAGTTCTCGACGATGTCAAATATAACGTGGGGCAATCCAGCGGTGCCGAGGAGCGAGAAGCCAAATCCCGTGGACTCGCTGTAACGATTGAGCGTCACGAGCAGCTCCTCGGCCATCGTCGTTTTCGCGAGTTCTTCGCAATTCTAGCGCCTCTGCCCTCTCCAGCCGCAGCCAGCCAGCAACGAGCAGCAGCAAGCCAGAAGCAGTCGGCGGCGGTGCAGGCACACACACACACCACAGCCTCTGCGCCAAAGCTAAACTTTGCGGATCAGCGGGCAAAAAAAGCAGCTGTATTTGAAAGCTGACGCTGCTGGTTTTTTTGTTTCTTGCGGGAGATGAGCGAGAGATTAATTATTATTGGCTGTTCCGTCTTGGAATCTCGAGAATGGCACATAACACGACGAGAGGACTATACACGCGTCGAAAACTGCTGGCTCTGGCGCGGCTTGTTATATTGCGGCTGCTGCTGCTTGCTAAAACTTGGCACATCAGCAGGCAGTTTAAAGTAGCGAGCCGAGAGCCGGTTCTACGTACTGTCCGCTGCTGCAGCTTGTACTCTCGCGCGCGGCTTTTCCACTGTCGCGCACCTAATCATGCATGCAGCGATGCACGGGTCGAAAAACGACGAGCATCCCCCTCGACGCGTGTGTGTATAGGCGCGCTCTCGACCGACCTTATCGTAGCGCCGTCATCGCTGCCTAGTGCACTCTGCTACTCTTTTTCAAGCTCGCCCATGCACTAGCGCAAATAATAACGCGAGCATCAGTAGCAGCAGTGCACATGTACGCTCTCTCTCTCTCTCTCTCTATGCTCTCTTATCTTTTTCACGCGCGTACGATTCACAGTTGATTCACAGCTCGATCGACACTCGCGATTCAACACATACACAATATACACATCAACACGCGCACTCGAACGACCAAAGTCGGTACGGGTAATCTTCTTCGCTGCGTACCGCGAACGATGCACTACATTCGACGTATATGTGTCCCAAGTGCAAGTGATGTATCAGTGAGTGATGCACAGTGTCTGGCCGCGCATCGTGTCAGAGAACTCTGCGAACTGTCGTAAAGGCACACCGCGCGCTGCTTCACGCACACGCTTATGGAACGGCAATCGCATCGACACTGACCGACTCGTCTCTCCTCGAGTCCGCGGCCTGCGGAAAGATAGCGCACGAGCGAGATCCGAGCGTTCGCTTGCTCTGACTTGCCTGCCTCCCCATGCGCCGTGCGCGGCTGCTCCAAACAGCTTTCGCGAGAAACTCCCTCGACGGCCGACTCGGCAGAACTCCAGTTTTCCAGTATTATTCGCAGTCTGTACAACAACAACGAGCCGAGCGAATTCGCGAGAGACGAGTTTTGAGCGATGGCGCCACGTACCGGCTCTCAGTGTATAAAATGCTGCTATTATAAAATGCCAATTCGCCGCTTATCGCCGTTCGCGTCGGTTGGCGGTTGTCGCGACGAGCAAATTTTGAACGGGCGTCTTCCACTGCAAAATCAGTTCGATGAGTCGCCGAATGTTGTCCTCATGACCTCATGACTTGCATCGAAGCTAATGTTTTCAACTTCGTCAGTAGAGCCCGTAAAGAATTTTGCTTTCATCGTTTATAACACCTTTTTCGAGTCGAACTTGTTAGACTTGAATTTTCAACGTTACAGCTTATGCACAGTCAAAGTATTCCAAGCAAAAAACAAATATATATGTAACGAGCTTTTTTCAAGTCAGTTTATGATTCGATTTCCAAAAATTTACTGCTCCAAAAGAAACATAATGATCAGACAACATAAATTCATTTGGGCCCGTTTTTCAGCTTTTATTGTTCATCGCGACAGCCATACTATAGTTTATAATTTGAACCTGGAAAAACAAATCGGTATAATATGTGATATAATAAAAATCAGATAAACTTTGCTCAGTCGATAACTGCCAAGTTTTACGTAATAAGCGGCAGCGGCGCCGCTATACTCTACTACGTCGTGCGAATAAAACGTGTCCGGTCGGTCGGTGTCCCACGTAGGTACACACATACACAGTACACACATGTACCAACACATAACGTCATGATACGAAATAAGACAACTGCGGCGAATTTCTGCGCTCGTTCGACTCCGAGTCGAGCCCCCTCTCGGCTCCTCCTCAGTCGCGTCGAGTCGGTCGTACTCTCTAAACCTAATCATGATGGAACCCATGTCGAATCTCGTCAAGGTGCACTTGCCGAACTACTTATCCGGTCTGCCCATTCCTGACACCATCGGAGGATGGTTTCGACTTGGAGGTACTTACAAAAACAAAAACGAACCGTATTATTATTGTCACGCGAGTCGTTGTTTTCTGCTCCGAAAGTTGATCGACACTTTTCGACGTGCTGGCACGATGACTGAGGCGCTACGAAATAACGACGATCTCGTGGATTACAAGGCGAAATAACTTCTGACATTGATGGTTTTTTATTTTTCATCTTGCAGTTAAAGACTGGCTGGCTTTGGTACCACCAACCGCTGCACTGGTTGGTCTAGGTTACATGTCCTACTTAGCATTTTGCCCAGAGGCTAGAAAGTCGGTAAGTAATCGCGAAGCCCTAAAGTCCATGTAATATGTAAACATGATAACGTTCTTATCTGCTCTAAGAGCGTTTGATGATTTCTTACATTTCAATTCAATCGAGCAACACAAAGAGCCTCTGCTTAAATTTTACTTTCATGCAGTTTCATGTCTGCTAATAAATTATTGATTTGTTTCAGGACAAGCGTGTGAATTGTTGTATCAACTTGAAGTCTGACAAGATTGTCGATGTTGTGGATGTAGAAGACATTACTGAAAAAGCAGCATTCTGTCGCTGTTGGAAAACCAAGAACGTAAGATATTTTACTTATCTACTATTTACCGACAAGTTGCAATTTTTGATGCAAACGCATAAATTGTACATTTAAAATTTTAGTGGCCTTACTGCGATGGTTCTCATGCTAAACACAATAAAGAAACTGGCGACAACTTGGGACCACTGTTGGTTAAGAAAACATCATCCTAAAGTAAAAACTTATAAATAATGTTATACATTGTACAGTAGATCATTGGAGTGTTGTCTATTTTTAATAGTCTACTGGATGGTGCTTTATGTTTATTTTCAAAAACATTGTTGAATAGGGAATTTTTACATCACTTAATTTTACTCAATTATTTTATGTTACTATTATTTCAGTATTTTTTGAAGCATCATTTTTAGGAACAACTTTTGTTACATTATACTTAGTAGAAAATTGTGATGGTATACACTATTATTATATGAGAGGAGAAAAATAAAATAATTGGATTCAAAGTATCTCAAAATCTGTTTTTACTACTTACAACAATTAATAAATACAACGATAATGCATGAAAATAAGATAAAATAAGTGTTCATACATCCATGCCACTTTTTTAGAATTGACATGATTGCATTGGAATATGTTTAAATCTTACACGCACTTGTTCACATATACTATGATAATTGTATTACAATAGACAGAGTGGTACCTTACTCGAAATTAACACAGCTTGAATTATGCTTGATCGGTATGATATTTTTAACGCCATGAAATATATATTCACGATAATGCGCTCACAGCAATTTCTAACATTTGTACATAGTTTTAAGTTTTACATATAGACACTATAGACGCAAATGGAATCGTAGAAAAACAAAGAAAGGCAACGCGCCCCACCAGTGGTAAGAAAATGTCCTTTAAGTAAACGGCTATGTTTTATCACTTATTCATTGTAATAAAAGACGAGGATATAATGCGACAAATGTCGCGAGGCAAAGGCACGCCTCGTATGTTTATAATTGTGACAAACGCACGAGGCGCAGTGCAAAGTCAGTATTGCAATTTGTCGACATACACACATATCACACACACACGCACAACATACATTTACATTTACACACACACAAGCACATAGAAACGCGTTTTAAAAATGCCAACGCATAATAAAATAATAAAATAAGAGAACGAATCGAGTCGCATTAGCAATATACATATGCATTTATATCACAGTGAATAGGTATATCGTCGATCTGTCGGTCGATTTGTTTTTTCGCCTCGTATGCAGGGTCTCTATATAAATCGATTCTCTATCGGGCGTATCAGAGCTGCGAAGAAAAAAATTAAAGAAGAATAAGAATAAAATAACATCAATCAATATAAATATCAGTATTTTTCAGCATGAAAAGATAAATCGAATTACCTCGAAATGCCGCAAATCATTCGTATCGAACTCCAAGTCGTTGACTAACAGCTCCCGATTTCCGTAGCGATACCTGATTAGCAGCAAAAAAAAACAATAAACAATTAAAAATATCTGTCTATCGAGTGCATTAGAGATATAAAAAAAAAATAATAATAATAAGATCGAATGCAAAAAGGTTGAAAAACGTACACCAAGAAACGTCTCCAGAGCACGAGGCCGATGTAGACGCAGACGACGACCGTAGTAAAGGTGATGGCCATGACCAGTGCTATGGTGGTCGACGACATGGATCCTTTGGAGATGTTTTCGGTCGTCGCCTGAGGTTTAGGCAACTCCGTCGGTTTCTCCGAAGCCGTGGTCACCTCCGATGACGACTCCGTCACCGACTCCGTTGTTTTTCCATTCACGTCCTTTTCAGTACTGCCAGTGGCAAGGGGAGTAGTGGACGCCACGGTTGTAGAGCTTGGCTCAATGGCTGATGGATAAAGGTGATTTTTAACATTTAATAATTGATTTTGCGAGTCTCGATCGTCGCTAATCCCAGACTCGGGTGATCCGCGCCCGCATATATAATGTTATTAAATGTTGAACGTACCATCGGCTGGCTTAGTCGGGGATTCTTGAGGTTTCTCCGAAGAAGTAGAGCTGGATGGCTGAGCAGTCGTTGGGGTCGTGTCACCTTCGGGTTTCGGGGTCGTTGCCTGCGTCGACTTGGCCGTTGCATCATTCGCGTCTTCGGACCTGGCTACCGCTGCATCATCAAATCAATGTAACGCGTCGATTCATTTATTGCGATTCGATCGAATAACAATTCGTACGCGTAACTGTATAAAATTTACAAACCTGATGGATCGATTTTGGCATCGTCAGCTTTGGTCGGAGCTTCGCTAGTTACATTTTTATCGACGTCGATCGGTGCGAGGGTCGTTGTCGTCGACGATCCTCCCGCGATCGTTACATTTTTGTTCGACGCGTCATTTTCCGGCGATGGTTTGAGCGTCGTGGTCGTTACTGCTTCCGCTGCCGCGACTGTCACCGTTGTTGCTGTCGGTTCATTTTTTTCCGTCAGCTCCGACGACTGATTCTTGGGCGCATTATTATCAGCCGGTAGGCTGGCGCTCGAGCTAAGATCAGCTGTAAATGCGTACAAAAATCGAATGAAAAAAAGTCGAGTGAAAATTGCCGTTGCTCGCGATCGAACAGCCGAGTCTCGAGCGTAGCTGATAATAGAGAGATCATATAGACGTATTATACACGGACGGTTGCACGCCTATACATAAAAGTCGAGGCGCGTTATTTACCGCTGCAATTACCAGATATATGTATTATTTTAAGAGCTCGCGAGAAGTGGAGAAGGCGCTGGCAGGCTCGATAAGCTGAACGAGAACGAGTTCGACAAAGAAAAATCATAGATCGAAGGAAAAAAGCATCGTTAAGTCGCGGCTAATCATTACGTATTACTATTGTAGGCGCGCGAGCGTAAGTACAGTAGCAGGTAGAGCTACACCTGTATGAACAAATAGACGCACAAATATAACTCGGATAAGTAAAAATGATCGATATATGTAATACGCCAGCTCGACGCCGCGTTTCACGTGTGCCGTGCGCGATAAATAATCCAAAAGACTAGTATTATAACTCTAGTAAGCGGCCTTGAATCGCTACACGCTACGTAGGGGTATCCTCGTCGAGCGGTCACGAGCTCGAGCCACGCGGGTCGATTTGACCCCGCGCACGAGTAGTAGTACCTACGAGTATCGTTTCGAGTCACGACGATGACGACGCAATTAAGGAAGAGCTGGTGGTACTCACCGAAAAGCATCAGCAGACAGAGCAGGAGGCAGGCGGATTTGTTGTTGCTCATGATGCGCGGCTTGAATCGGACACACACTTATACTGGATTCAGGCAGGGTCTCTCTCTCTGGAGCAAATAGTCAACAGCTCGGGCACACACGCACAGAACACACTTGGCACATGTGTGACGAAGAGGCGATCCGAGCGACGTATGTATTTAATCAGGCACCTGTCTCGTCGAGTGACTCGCTCCGATTGTAATGATGTGCTTCGCTCTCTCTCCGTCTAATGATCGGCAAGCGCGCGAGCTTATCTAGTACTCTTTTCAGCTGAAAATAAGATAAGCGGAGCTCTCGATAAACGGCTAAAAATTACGATCGCGCTCCGATCGCATACGCACACGGCCGATCCTTCGATCAGATTCTCTCTCTCTCTCTCTCTTTTTCTGTTTGATTGTTGACGCTCGAGTTTTTTATTTGGCATTGGGCGCGGGGGTGGTAGCGGCGGGCGACGATCGCCTCGCCGGCCCGATGAAAAGTCGCCGCGTGACTGACGCCGCTCGTTTACTTTTTTTCACTTCTAAGGCTCGTACATTTGAGCGGCGTGTAATTCTCTCGACTATATACTCGAGTCGCGGCTCGGTACGTTATGCAGGTATATAGGCATTAGCTGGCGAGCTTGCGCGCGCAAAGCACCCGCGATCGAGCTTCGAGCGGCTTATAATGACGATCGACGTGCAGCTCGACAGCGAAGCATATATTTCATTTGTCCTATTGCGGCTCGTTCGTAATTGTCGTACGAGCTTTGTACACGTCACTTTCTATTTCGCGCGTATATAAATGTGCATAATGTAATGTAAAATATTTCAGCTTCTCTCCCCGCGCGCATCTATACGTATACGCGTAACTAGTGGACGAATGTGTACGACGCGCGAGGATCGCGTTCGCGCGCTTTACGTAATTGAAGAAGAAAAAACACACCGAGAGACATAGACAAGCCAAGAAGAGGTATATTAATCATGCCGCGCGTCGCAGATTTGCATGAACTAGTTATATTCTATATGACGTACATTTAACATATTTACGCGCGACAATGAGCCGCGTTTATCGTCGCCTACCTGCACACAGCTACTGCCGCACGAGCTAATTCTTTTCTGTCTTTTTTTTTTTTTGTTATTCTCGCTAAATCGACTCGGTGTCTCTTTGTGTATTAATGCGCGTTTATGTATAATAATCGTAATATAGGTACACACGATCGTGCGCGACAACGATGTGTTGCGAGTATCGAGTGTGTGTGTACTGATACGCAGCTTATTTAATGTGTGGCACGGATCGCGCGACACGTTCGAGAAGACGAACTCGATTCGATAAACATTATATCGCTCTCTCGAGCTTATAACAATATAATACTTCATTTTTCTTTCTTCTTTCGCGCCTCGCAAGAATTCGATTCACGCGAGTAATGCTGCGTTGCAGCAGCAGCTGCTGCTCTTTATGACATTAATAAAGTAACAGCTCACAACGCGTCTCAATTACGAAAGCAAAAAATTCCCCGATGATTTTTTTTTCGTCGTAGCTCTCCTACTGCAACGCAGCTCTATCTCCGTCGTTCTCCGCGTTCTTTAAAAAGCAGTCGCGTATCCTACGAAATTTTGATCGATAAGGCTTTACTCGAGCTCGTTAGCGCCTAAGCACGATTGTTCTTTTTCTATACATACGATGTAATAATAAATATATGACTCGTGGCTGACGCGACTCTATGCAGTCGCAACTCGTAAAGCACCGAATCCACGATAACGAAGCTACCACCGAGTTATCGCGCTGGAACGACGAAAAATTAATTTCCAAAGTTCGAAAATGGTTGTCCAACCACTATAGATTATAATGTGCGACGTGCGCGTATATATAATAATACGTGCGTGGCCATCGAAGCTTCAGCTTTTGACAGATTTACCTTAGCTCGAGAGGCAGAGACGCGCGCGAGAGAAGACGTATGCAACTAGGCTACTCTGCGTCGAGAAAAAAAATCGCTAAAGAAAAATAAAAAGACGAACCGAATTATTACGAGAGCTTGAATTACGATCGACCGTGACAATTATGTTCGCTCTGGCTTATCTTATCGGAACCGATTCCCTAATTCGCGAGCACCAATAATTATTCGAAATAATAACACAATTAAAATCGCCTTCTTCATGTGGTCGCCGCAACTGTTTAACCCGCGTCAGAATTGCATATTTGACGCAACTATTGTACTTCAGAGACGAGAAAGAGTCAGAAGATAGAAAAAAAAATAAAGATAAAACAAAATGTTTACCGGCACATCACTCGCGCGACAATTTCCAAGTGCGATCGAGCTCGCGGTCCGCCACTGACTGAGAAACTGTCATACATTCTCCGCGCGAGAGCACAGCACGCAAGGCCGTAGCCAGCGGGGGGGGTTTGGGTGTCAGAACCCCCCCCGAAATTTGGGATTTTACCTTCTGTTAATGGTAACCCAAGCTACATAAGTAACCCGGGTAAACCCCCCCGAAAAAATTTTCTGGCTACGGCCCTGACAGCACGTGTGGCTTATTGCCGCAGCTCGCCTATATCACATAGGTGTATGATACTCATTAGCACTGCAGCCTCGCCTTATCTCCACATGCCCATTCGATTAGCCTCGAACTAGTGAGGCAACCACAGCTATAACCCATACATATGTCGAAAAATGATTCCTTGAATGATATCTGGCCGTAGCGTATCCTTTTATTTCTACTTTATTCCGATCTCTCGACGTGCTTTCTTCGTTTCCGATAATACAAATTTAAACTCATCAAAACAATTTCAAAGCGCGAACGGACCAACGAGCGTATGGTAACTTGGTATATTTTCAATAAAAATACGGTTGTATACGATATGTTGCATTTATTTATAAAATTACTCTTTCGAATGTGCAATGTGTGGTTGATCTTGAAGACGGAAAAAAAATTACAATGTCAATAAGTATTAATGCACAATACCACGCTAACATATATTATATGTACAGTCGAGAAAATCACAATTTAAAATTAGATAACGTCGATGCTGTAGACAATTGCAAAAGATTTTTTTTACTGTCAATTCCTAAAGATTAATTACAATTTTGAAAAAGTTCAGATTTCTTTTATACACTATGGTAAAAGCCACGCATAGCGAGAAGTTGAAATTGTTATTCTCTTTTTGACTAGTTGTCATTCATTTATATATTTGTTCATTTTTTTAACATAATTTTTTTGTGACTTTCCATTTGTTTATCTGTAAGTGATTGGCATCTGCAACCAAGTTACTATTACTCTCGTGTCTTATTTTCACTAACTATGTTACATTGTTAGATTACATAAAGTGAGAACACCATCATTGTTTGTACCAAAGGCACGGCATGATTTTTAAACTGTTTCTGTATGGAATACTAAATTTCGTTTGTAACGAATACAAAACGTCAAACGTTATTAACATAAAAGTCAAAATAAGCATTGTGATTTATAATCATTATTTATAAAAATATATATAGCTAAAATTCATTATAGTTTAAAAAATTAAATGACATCTCCATAGCAATTCTGTACTTCATAATATAGCAGAAAAATTAAAAATAGTGAAAATTGCTAGTAATTGCAAATATTAGTTTTTTCTTCTAACTAATGACTTGAAGAGAATAAAACTGTTATTGCTAATTATTTTGCGATCGAAATAATTGCACTGTAAAACTAGATGATTTATGTTTGTTTTATGATAAATAAACAATGCAATTTATTTCTCATTTTGGAAATCTGGCGATTAAGGTTACCACGACAGAGTAAAAGTCAAATTTCTAAACATATTTTCTGAAACATCAAGTGTATATATCTTTTTAAAGACTTTATGGTACGCCTAGAAACATTAAAACAAAGGTAACCATGAAGCTGCTCAGAAAATTATGTAGTCAAAGTTTCAGAAAACACGTTTAAAAATTTTTTAATTTACTTTGAAATTAGAATTTTCCTGAACTAAGGTAAAATTGAACTGATAAAAATAAAATTCTATGTTTTAAAGCATTGCATCGATTAAATAAAATCGATAAAAAAATTGAACTCTTTCTAATTACATTGTGTAAAAACTGTGAAAATTCCTATGTCAAGTCTGACATTTTTTTCATACTTGCATACTACTTTTTCCGTAAATCTACTGACTCAATAGATCCGTATGGATCAATCTTGAAATGCTTTGCAACCTGAAATAGATTGTTTCAATATTTTAAAATTTAACAAAAACGGTATATATAAGCTCACTTTATTTTAAAATGATTTACAACTTACAGTAAACAGCGGGGGATCCGAAGGATGTGGATGAAAGCCATTTTCGCGACAATTCGCAATGAAATTTAAGCCATGTTCAGGTGTTAAGTGAAAGAACCCTGTACTGTAATAAAAATATAATTCAACATTATTTAATCAAGTAACTATTGGTTTTTACAATGTAAAAATCACTTACTCGTTATATTTAGGAGCACAAACAATAGCTATTGCTTCGGCCATCATAAGTTGATAGGCGCAATGTGTATGAAGATCTACACTGGACAAAAATGCAGTTTGTGTTGGATGTGTCTATAAAGAAACCAATGATTAATGTGAATGAAGTAGATCAAAAATTTACTTCTATATTTTTCAATTTGTTTATTATACATACATGAATCCAACCAACTGTAATTAAATTATGCTGATCTTGAAAATCAAAAATGTCTTCTTCATTATGAGTTGTGCAAGAGTCTGGTGAACCAGTTTGTTTGGGTATTAAGAAATGTGTTATCACTAGTCTATTTCTTTCCAATTTTCCTGCCAGTATACCGCATGTTTCTATATTCTGAGAAGTATTACTTTGAGCTAACCGTAAGAAATTTTGCATTAATCTTTCAGGTACAATAATGTCTCTAAGCCGATCACCAGATGTTAAGGATGCTGGTTTTGTTGAACGATCAACAGAAGGAACTTTTCTAAAATTTAGATAAAATTTGAATAACAGTCAATATAATTAATATTTTAATTTCAAAATTGCCTGCTACTTACATTATGTCTTTTGATGTTTGTGCTTTACTATCATTAAAAGTAGGTATATATTCAGGAGCACTAGGAGCTGGAGTTTGTCTTTTAAATTTAATATCATCTAGATCTGCAAAAGATTTGGCTGGTATTGGTGGTGTTTTTATTGTCATGGCCAATAATTTTTTATCTTCTTCTTCTTTTTTCCTGCGTTTTTCCTCTTGTTTTAATTTTTCAATCCTTTGCAGCTCTAGCTGTTTTAGTTCTCGCTTTTTTCTTTCATTTTCTAGCCTGAACTTTTCTAACAATTTTGGTTTTAATCCTTCAACAATAGGTAATATTTCTCTTAAGGTAACTTTAATGTATTCTTTTTGCTCTAATGAAAGTGTGTTGTACTCTGGGTGGGTTTCAAATTTCTCCAAATAAATCCTACAATTTGATAAATCACATTATGTATTTGTATTACAATAGTTGAAATAAAAACTGTAAAATCTTACGTTATACATCTAATATATAAAATATATGCTTTTTCTATGTCACCCTCTTTCATGTAAACATCAGCTTGATGTTTAATTTCCCTTCCAGAACGACAGTACCTAAAATGTTGAGAGAGTTAATTAATAAATGACATTTTTAGTCATGATGCATGTCTTGCAGTGAAAAATTGCTGTACCTATGAATCGATCGAGAAATTTCAAAACGAAAGTTCGTTGCCTCTTCGAAACATTGTTTCAATCTACTATCTGGTGGTATTAATTGCACCTCACTCATTGCTGGATACTGTTTTTTGATATCCATTTCATTTGTGTCTCTATTTTCTATTCATAACACCTAAATGTTAGGTTAGTGAAAATATCGCGAAAAAATTGCAGACATGAAAACGCCGATGAAAGTTTCACTGTGATTAAGCTTTTTAATAGTGAAAGATGACGTGCGGCTGCAGGTGAACGGAACACGTCACTCTGTTGAACATCGGAAATAACACCACATAAAACAGAATGTGACGCCAAGTTTTGGTCTGCAATTCTCGATCAGAGGCATAACTACTAGACTGTCATACATTCACCTTACCTATACATAGATAACAAAAAACTCCTTGATATCGTGCTAACAGCTGACGTTAGTACACAAAATTGCCACCTTATAGTTGCGCGCAGTTAAAAATCGTTTTGTTTTGACTTATATTTTCAATACCTACAGCAGACGCTTATAAATTCTGAATTAGCATCTAAGTATTGCTAATTAAATTAAATTAACTTCAATTATTGATACATATTAGGTTTTCTTTATAAACGTCATTAACAATCAATATGAGTAGTGAAAATAACGAGGAACTTATTGAACATGTAGAAAAAAAGCAAAAACTCGAAGAACCAACTCCATCAGGTACACAAGAAAAGATACTTTGAAAATTTTTATATTCGAAGAAAGGATATATACTTTATTAAAATTTTAAATGTTGTGCAGGTTCTAAAACGGAAAGTATGAACTCAAAACCCAAGGCGAATGCTCTCTTAATAAACCCCAAACAAGTAAATTTTTTTCATGTCAACACTGACAAAGTAGATGAATTCAAAAATGTTTATTTGTTTTAGCGTGGAAATCCTCTTATAAAACATATCACTGGTGTTCCATATGAATATTCTGAAATGATTCCAGATTATATAGTAGGCCCAGCATCTTGCATTTTATTTTTATCACTTCGATATCATCAATTGAATCCAGACTATATTCATGATAGATTGAAAACTTTAGGTTCTTCTTTCAATCTTCGGGTATTATTAGTGCAAGTATGTTTCAAAATTGGATTGTTTTTTAGATAAAATTTTATTCATTATATTTTATGCCTTCAACTTGATAAGGTGGACGTAGCGGAGCCGCATAACTCTTTGAAACATTTAACAAGAATTTGCATTTTAGCAGATTTGACGTTAATGTTGGCATGGAGTGCAGAAGATGCTGGAAAAATTATAGAAACATATAAAGCTTATGAAAATAAGCCACCAGAATCAATCATGGAAAGAAGTGAATCAGCTCCTTATACAAAAGTAATCAAGACCTATTTTTTAATTTTATTTTAAATTATTTGACATTTGTTTTTTTTTATTATAGTTGGTGAATGCTTTAACATCAGTAAGATCAGTAAACAAAACAGATGCAATGACTTTGTTGTCAACTTTTGGAACATTTGAAGCAATTGTTAAAGCTCCATTGGATGCTTTGTCATTGTGTCCAGGCTTTGGAACACAAAAAGCACAACGCCTGCATAAAGCTTTACATGAACCATTTTTAAGATCTAGTAAATAAATTACAGACTGATAAATATTATATTTTTAAGTAAATTACACATAAGTCAAATTGAATGTAAAAATTGTGAAATTTAGTTATATTTTTATAATAAAATTTTTTTTGAAAAAACTAGTTTTAAATTATTACAAACATTCAGATTTTGATCGCAACTATTTATTTCAACTGTCATAATATGCATTTAAAAAATTTGTTCATAATGCACATTTATCGACATTGTAGTAATTTTCTGAATTTTCGTTCATTTTAATCGAAGAACCAATGACGATTCGTCGTAAGAACATTTAGCAGGAGTTTATAATTCTCAACAGCCAATGAAACTTTACAAGCTATCATGATGTTGCATATAAGGAGATTGGAGAATAGCCCAACAGTCGTCTGTAGGTATAAGAGTCACCATATAGTGTACAAATAATGAAGTAGTACTGAGTTTAACCGTAGGTATATGTATACATCGAGTCCGTAGTTCGTCGTAATGGTTTGGTTAGTTGGGTGATGGATGCGGGGTTAATTCACAAAACTCCGCTATTGTGAACGTCAATCACTGTGTTTTATAATTTTTAACGTTCACCGGACTATAGGCTCGAGCTCAGCAAAATGAAAGGGACGCGTCAATCTGGGCGATTAGTAAATAAACCTGCGGCTAATTACTGTGGTAAATAATTTGATGGATTGTTTCTCTCACTCAAATGATATATTTCAACGAGTTTTATTCTTTATTTTTAGTTACACCAAAAAAGACAAAAGTTGTAAAACAAAAGAATTGTAATGGAGTTGAAGGTGAAGAAGAGTTTCAGAAAATTGAACCCATAACAAAAAGGGATTTAGGTTTGATTAATCTTCTGATTTTCATTGATGGATTATGCCTGCAAAGATATCATAAATTCTAATAATTCTATTGCATTGCAGAAGATTTTGATGATGATGTTGATGGAAGAGGATTGTACAGTTTAGCAATAACTGAACCAGCTAAAAAAAAAGTAACTGCAACAGAAAATGCAAAAGAAATACGTAATAAAGCAACTTCTGTTTTACCTCCTCTTAGGGAGGTCTCTGTTAAAATTGAGCCACTTAAGTTGAAATGCCATGATGAGAATTGGAAAGTAATGTGTAAGTTCATTTTAATCAATCTCAAAAATATTTAAAATATTAGTTTGTTAATTTATTTGCAGCCAATGATAATAAAGAAAATAAAGAGAGTAAAACTGACCCAAGTCCAAAACGTGTATTGCGAAGGGGGAGATCAAGAGCTAATGTTTATGTGAGTAAATAATAAAAAATAATGAAACAAATCATTTATGATGATAGTAAACAAACTTTGATGAAAAATATTTTAGCATATGTCCACTGATGACTATTTTGCAAGACAATCAGAAAAGTCAGTCACTTCAAATCATACACTAAGCAAATTGAAAAAAAGACGTTTAGATGAAGAAGAGTTACAGAAGCTATTGGCTAACAATAATCATATTTCTGAAACTCAACAAGATATCATCAATGCTCTGTATGATTGCGCACAAAAATATTATCCAGAATGGTTCCGTTTAATGGAAGAAGGATTTACAGTTTTACTTTATGGCTTGGGCTCAAAAAGATTGCTAATAAACCAATTTCACAAAGAGATGATTTCTGATGAACCCACATTAATAATAAATGGTTTCTTTCCTAATTTGACCATAAAAGAGGTATTAGGATCAAACTTACTATTCAAAGAAGATCATTTATCAATTTTGATATATTATTAATTTCAGATTTTAGATAATATCATTGTTGAGCTACTGGGTAAACAGACTGATACTAATCAGGGTGAATGTTTTGAAATTATTGAAAAAACAATGAAAAGACATTCAAGTGATCGTATATATTTACTGATTCATAATCTTGATGGAGGCATGCTAAGAAATAGTAAAGCTCAGGATATCTTATCACGATTAGCTGCGATACCTAATATTCATGTTATGGCCTCTGTAGATCACATAAATGCTCCATTAAGTAATTCACTTTGCTAATATTGTAATTTTAATATGAATTTAGATATCAATTACAAATTTTGAATTATAGTATGGGATAACGTGAAACGCTCAAGATATAACTTTTTCTGGGTAGACGCTACAACATTTAAGCCTTATGAGGCTGAAACCTCATACGAAAGTTCCTTACTTGTACAAAAGAGTGGGGCACTTGCTCTTTTATCATTACAGAATGTGTTCATGTCTTTAACATCAAATGCCAAGGCCATTTATATACTGCTTGTAAAGTATCAGCTACAACATGGTGGAACTAACTATGCTGGTTAGTATTTTTCAGACTTACTTTTTAATTTTAATATTACGACAATAATTTATAAATTTTATTTGTTTCTTAGGAATGGCATTTAAAGACCTTTTCAATGCTGCTAGGCAGGCATTTTTGGTTACCTCAGATCAAAGTTTGCGTACACAGTTGACAGAATTCTTAGATCATAAGTTAGTAAAAACCAAAAGAACTTCAGATGGAGTTGAAGCTCTTGTTATTCCATTGGATGATGGATTGTTAAAACAATTCCTGGAACAATATGATACAGGATCATAAGTAGTATTTCAGTATTAAGGTGTCAAACATCCGCAAAACTACGCTATTACGCTTATCACTCATGTTTTTACCAATTTTTAAATTTTTTAATTTTCGTAGTAGTTAAAATATAATAAAAATTTGTAACATTACTTATATGTAAGCTAGAAATATTTGAATTGTAAAAAGCTCAATTATACTTAAAAGTATAGGATGCCGCCTATGCATATAACATGTTAACATGATATTTCATAGTTTCTATGTCAGGCCAAGACTGAGTGTTGAAATAATATTTACCCCGAATGAAATCTTATTCAATACATTTTTGCTACATCTTATTGTTCTTTTGAACAATTTTTCGCATTCCTTGAAAATGTGACTCTATGTATAGCCAACTTTTTGTTTTTATTTATATTAAAATTCTTGTGAAGCATAAAAAAACTGAAACTTTTTCTTTTTACAACTCTGCAATACACAAGTGAAATGTTTAACTTTCGAGCGATCGAGCAACGAATCAAAGCTTGAGCGTCGCGCGGTGATTGCAAAAAAAGTTGAGCTTCGTGTCAGTGCTGCCACCACAACACAAAGCAAATCGAGACTGCTCAGGGCAGCCAGGTCATACAATACATATACACAATCGAACGTTGCTCATCAACGAACATCTGAAAGACGAATGAGAAAGAGCAAGCGAGTCGGACGATTTGTAAGCCGCGAGAGATAGAGAGAAAAAAACGTCGGGCAACAGTAGAGCCGAACATTATCTATTAAAGGCGATCGACGTTTGGCAAATTCGCACGGATATGCGACCGCTCCGTTTTTGTGTAATACCCGTTAATGTGCACTGTGTTTGTGTGTGACTTTGTGCGTTTTTTATAAAGGTGTGCGCGCGTCTGCTGGTGACGGATGTATTTATAGTACTTTTCGAATGTCCATACGAGTGCTTTTTCGAACGAATAAAAAGAGCAGCGAAAAATTCACGTGCCGGTAAACTGATAGCGAGTTGGTAAATAAAATCGACTTTGGTGCTACGCTATATGTGTTTATGTACACGCGAATCAAATCAATTGTTTTTGATCTTCTTTTTTCGCTCGTGTCAGATATATAGATACATATTTGCAGCTAAATCGAGTTGTATGCATACAGGATACCTATACATGCTCGTAGCGCGGCAGCCCAAGAGTGCCCCTACAGTCGTCCAAGGGGACAAATGCAACAACAAACTTACGATAAATAAGAATAAACCGGTAAAATCGAAGACAAGTGTGTATGTGTATCGGTGAGAGCAAGGCAATGAAATTCGGAGCAGGACGCAACGAATCGAACGGGCCTATATGCAGTTGAGTTATTGGGATTCGAGGCTAGAAGAGTCGTGTGCATCGCAGCAGCGCAGCCGGTGATATACATATATACACGTATATATACTGTGCACACTGCAATATATACATATATCGGTGCACATTTTCGAAAAGGTCGGAGCAGTCGAGCTCTCCTGTATACACGGCATATATGTGTCTGCGCTCTTGTGGTCGTTACGCAGAAAAGGTAAGTCCCTCGGGCTCTTCAGTACGCAATCATTTATTTGTTTTGTTTTGCCTTGTTCTGCTCCAAGTTGGCATACCTATACATAGCGCGTTTATATATATTCGCCTGGCCAGCTTTTCGCTATAGGTATACATTGCTACCCGTGCCGTACACACATACAGATATATATTATATACAGAGCCGTGCGTTACGAAGCGACACACTTGATGCTCCCCTTTGTACGAGATACATATTCGCACACACACATACATGCGTATTTGTATTACATACACATCGGCTGCATCGCTGGCTTCTGCTAACCTTACTTTTTAGCCAGATTTTCGTGCGAAATCTTCCACGATCGAGCAAAAATATATGCATATTTATGTTTGCCGTAATTCGGTGCAGCAGCGAATGAATAAGCACATACATATAACGTGGCTCGGCTGTGGGTGGCTCTATACAGACATAACACGAGCGTTCAAATGCGTCGGTTGTTTATTTTTATTGTACGGCTCGCTAAGTATAATGGCATTTAAATGACCGCAGTTCGAGCCAATAAATCCGCGCCCGGTGTTTTGGCAAAACTTTACAAACTCACCGTTTTATCTTTCTCTCTCCGTATCGCAAGAAAGCTTGGAAATTTCGTTTCGGAGCAAGCTCCTAAAAATAACGAAAGACGAAGAAAAAAAACACGCTCGCGTTGATAAGAACTCCGATGCAGTGCAGTGCAAAATAAAGGAAGAATCATCGAATTTCGCCGATACAATTTTCATCGTAGCCTTGCCTACATCGTACATCGTGCGCTCACACACACACACGCGCGCGCGCGCGTGTGCTGCATATTGCACGCATGACAGAACTAATAAACTCGATTGTCTCTCTCTGTGCTTCTTTGGCATTACCACTGCTGCTGCTTCATAATATAATGTATCATATTACCGAGCTCGCGAAAGAAGTGTGGGCATATATGCGAGCGTGTATGCGAGCACAGAAGAATGCGATACTTGTAACACTCTGGACGCATTTCTCGGCTGGCCGTGTTTGGGATCTATATACGTGAACACCACTATACTAAGCAGCGATTATTGATTTATAGCTTTCGACACTACTCTTATCGCAATTCGAGATTCGGCCCTGCATGCCGCAGATTAAGGTATATACGCAGGGGACAATTTTATTGCACTCGAGCAGTTCTCGGCGTCGCGCAACTCAATGGGCCATTTCGTCAACGAGTGCATGCAACTTTCGACGTTACGCAACTCGCTCCTTGTCTTCGAGGATTTAAAAAGCTCGGACGAGAAAATTTTTACGAACCAACCGTTTCGTTTTATAAGCGATATAAAAGTTTGCGCGCGACGAACGAAATACTCGCGCGCGCGGGAAGAAGAGATTCGCTCCGCGCTCGTGACCCGATAGCAACTTTTTTGCACGCTATAAGCTCTGACAATCGAATGCGGCTTGCAGCAAGCTCCGCGCGCCGTGCCAACTAAATTCGGCTAAGTAGAGGCGGCGAGTCGAGCGATCGAGCAACTTGACCAATTTTCAGTATCTCAGATGCGTACATGTAAAGCTATGTTACGTCTAGAGCCGCCGTAAAGCCTGGCTTAACGATCTACATATTTAGGCTGCTCGAGATCGACGCGCTCTTGTTTACGATCGACCTCTCGAATTGACGTGTGTCGGCACGATTGCGAACGCGACCGACTCGCGTCTGCTTTATTTTCGACTAATTTTTTCGCCGCAATTTTGAAACTCCTGCCCGAGCTCGGCCAATAGCGACGAGTAAAGCACGTTGTCGAGCCGGCAATGCAGATGATCGCTCTTACCTTCTTCCTGCCGCTTGGCTCATCTCCGATCATATTGTATGCAATCGAATGCAGCTTTCGGCCGCTCGCTCGTCCGATGGCGCTCCGATGCGCAGAATGATCTTTCGAATTTCATTCGGAAATTGGCGAAAAACCTTCTCTATTGGCTCGTTTCTTTCTCTCTCTCTCTCTGGGCACGTATAATAAAGAAAGAGAAAATTGCCTCGTTGGAAGTAAGAAATAGCTTCCGAATTTCACTCGTTGCAGAGTAATATCGCGTAGTCGTCTCTCGGCATTGTACAAAGCGACTTTTTGCTGCGCGCCACCGAGAGAGAGAGAGAGAGAGAGAGAGAGACCCCGAGTGAGAGCGGAAAACTTTGTCCGTTACGCGCGCGCACAAAACTTTGGTGACTTTTCTCTTCGCGCACGTTTTATAGCGCGCGTACTTTATAATATCCCTGGAGATGGAGAAAAAGAGCGAGAGAATGAGTGCAAGTCATACGATCGCGAGTCGATTAAAAATCCTTTGTTGCGCAAAAAAAGAACGATAATTAATGCTGCGGAGTTGAGAATAGGGACGAGTAGTATAGTGTAGTGGGGTCGAGGTCCTATTAGGCAGGCTGCAGCCTCGCCCTTTCGTGCTCCGCGTGCAGCAGCAGCAGCGGATTCGACCCCGCGCGCGCGCTCCACATACACGGCACCGAGCTATACAGCAGCAGCAGCAGCAGCAGAGACGGATGAATGCAGAATAATACCTCATCTGCGTCAATCTCGAGCCGAGTCGATAAATTCTGTCGGCTGCAGCGCGAGTTTCTGCTGCTGATGCTGATGTTGCTGCTGCCGAGCCCATCGCGCTCGTCTCCCGCTGAACTGCCGCGTGCAGAGAAAAAAAGAGCCTGCACAGAGAAGAGCAACTTTGTGACTTGTCTTGCTTCGTGCTGCATGTGTCTCCTTTACTGCTGCTGCTGCATACTGCCTCGCTGCTTTGTTGCGCTTCTTTTATCTTCGTATATAGAAATGTTTCTTTTTTTTCCTTCTCATCCGATACGCGACTCATCGTTTAAATTAGTATCATCTCGAGCTATATAGCTGCTGACAGCATACCAAGGCGATACACACAACGCGCGATGTAATTTTGAGTAGGCCAAAAAAACTCGAGACGTATTTTGTCAACTCTCGGCTATATAGAGTTACCAAGTTTCGCTGCGCGCTGATTAATTATTCAAACTTCTCTCCTGCGCGTCTACCCGTTCGCCATTGTTCGCTTCTGCACGCTTGATAAACATTTCCATGTAAAGTTCCATTGGACTTTCATCGATCGCTCGCTGCCATTTATCCTTGCCAGCGAAAATTGAAAAATAAAGCGATCGAGCCTTTCAATTACCGAGTCGTGCAGTTTAATAAACTTCTTCCATCTCCTCTCGGCTCGTCCGGCTTGGCATTATATAGATTTTGAAGGATTATAGTTTTCGAGAGAAGAGAGCAGCAAGCAGCATCAGCTTGGAGGCAGTTGCCGATGACATCAGTTATAATAAAATCGCCTCAAACTGGGATTACGCAATTTTTATACTTTACATCTTGATTTTTTTTATACCTCGATTATAAACTTCCTCGTTCTCTCTGCTCCTCGTCGTGATTAATTAAAAACTTGTGCGGAAAGAGAGCCTCGCGTTATAAGGATACCGGACTCTGCCATGGGTGTTTCTGATTAAGCTTCAGGTATATTGTAAAACTTGAAGGATCGCGTTGCGCGCGCGCGACTCGTTAAAAGTTGGGAAAATCTCGCTCGAAACCAAATTAATACACGAACAATGAATACGTACGAGACTTAGAAATCGTTATACGTATCTTACGTTACGTAAATGCACCAACGATATAATTGGAGCAAAAATTGCGTACTTTAACCTCTCGATCTTGGTATGAGCATTTACTTTTCGCATGATTCCATTATCGCGCGGCGAAAATCGATCTCGAAATTATGTATTTCGCGATTCGCTCGCGTTACACGCAACGAAACGAAGAAAAAAACAGCAGAAAATTGGGAACGTGCGTCTATTATTCAGTTTTCCATTGTGTTAACGCATGTGCATTATAGGACACAGACAC